TCAATAAAGAAAGGCGCAGCCTTCTTATTGCCTTTATCCTTATGAGATGTGGACTCTGAGTCTAGTAGTATTGTAGTAAAGTGGAGAATATTCAAGTTCCATGAACCCTAGTAGACATAGGAAACGGTGAAGGATCATGGAGTTACACATCAGTATCATCTTATAGTCCCTATATTCCCAAATGCATATCTAGAAACCTTTAGCTTGGAGAGGACTCGGACTGCATCCTGAGGGACCAAATACAGTGGTGCCTCACTAGACAGTTACCCCGCATGACAGTTTTTTCGCTAGACATTGGCTTTTTGCGATCGCTATAGCGATTCGCAAAACAGTGCTTCCTGTGGGGGAATTTCACTTGACAATGTTTGGTCCCTGCTTCGCAAACTGATTTTCACTAGACGACGATTTTGACACCTCCCTCCGCGCTCGCAAACAGGTGTTTTCGGGAATTAAGCTTCACAAGACAGCGATTTAAACAGTTGATTGGCAGTTTGCAAAGTGGCTTTCCTATGGCCGATCTTCGCTAGACAATGACGATTCTTCCCCATTGGAACGCATTAAACAGGTTTCAATACATTCCAATGGGGAAATGCTTTTCGCTAGACAATGATTTCGCTAAACAGCTATTTCAGTGGAATGAATTATCATTGTCTAGCGAGGCACCACTGTATAAAAGTGAAGAAGCAAATAGTAGCCCATATCCACTGTGATTTTCCAAACATCCATGTTGAAACAGGAAGTGAGTTCATTTGTGTTTTTATTTTGAAAAGGTAGATATAATTGTTTCAAATCTGTTTGCTTCCAATTTCCCCGATACCCTTGTGATCTATTCTTTCTGCCCTTTCATGTCACCAATAACTGAAGTATATAGCCCTCTTAAGACCATTTTCATTGTGCCTTTTTTAGGATATGCCAGTTCTCCTGTCCCTATCTTCTTTTGACTATCAGAACTAGTGTAGTAATTCAGGTGCTTGCAATAACAACAAACCATTCTTCTCATTCCACTCCTATAAAATATTTATGGTAAATACTCCTCATGGTATTAATTCTTAAAAATCATGGTTGAAAGAACATTCCAAACTTGAAGAAGCTTTCTTGCCATGTTATTGAACCACACTGTGTATTTTGCTGTGTGCATGCCACAGCTCTAGGAAGATCCCTTATTCATTGTAACACATGCATAATTGCATAGGCATTTGAATGAGAATGGATGGTAATACAGCATGTGAGGTGGAGATGAAAATTTACCAAATATTAAGACTTAGTTCAGAAACAAGATGAAGTCTGAAGTTTTGGTTTTTTTAAAGACAGTTGCCACATATATCTGTCTTGTATAGAAATTTTCTAAGGAAGATATAAAATTAATTATTCATGTGAAGGATCTCAGTCATTCTAGTGGAGCTGTGAACAGTGTGATCCCCCCACCCCACCGAAGAGTGTCAGTAATAGTAAGAGACAACACTAGAGAAGCTTACTGTTTCTGTTATGGTAAGAGACTGACTATCTAGGGAATTGATTCACTCAGCGTAGTGTGACCTTGTCTATTCCACAGTTGACAGGTATCAAAAAGAGCCCGGCTGGCCTATTGAATAGGAAAGGTGCAGCAAGTTACTCTTGACTCTGGTTACTTGTCTGATATGGTTCATCAGAACTTGATCTTGTCTGCTGTAGGTCAGAACAATAAATTGCCAAAGTATTTCTTGAGAAAGTTAGTTATTGTAATGCTCATCACATCTTCCTTTGTAAGCTAGATGTTATAACTGTCTTCCCTTCTTATTCAGATTTTGAGAAATATTTATTAAAACAGATGAAATGGTCTTACATAGATCTGGCAATCTTCATTTATGTTGCTTAGTGTTTCTATAGGTGAATTGTTCACACAATCTTCCAAGAAAGAAATTCTTTTAAACCTGACATTTCTTTATATGCCAAAAGCTGGGTTTTTAGGATGAGCTTTGAATGCTTTTTTTTAGAAGATCAGTGAAACATAAGAATGTGTCCCATGTGTGTGGCTAAATAGTTTCCTCCAGTGCTCACTATGTGTGTCTTCTGTGTACTTATCTCTATGAAACTAAATCCCAGTAGTTGGTTTCCACATGGGATCTTCTCTGCCTTTCCTAAACAACATATGAGGTTATGTCTTTCCCATCACCTGAGTGAACATCAGCTGGTTCCCTGGCATAGAGGCAATATTAAACTCTCCTGAGGCAGCTGTTCCCTCAGTTAGAAAATGCTTGCTGCTTCAGGTCACTGAGGGCTGCAGCTTCTCCCAACCCCCAAATCCAGTCAAAATCTCTGCCAGTGGATTTTGGAAAAATAATTGGAGTGGTGATCTTTCTTTAACAGTCTAGCTTCCACCAGGCCTTTCTGTGTGTGGAGAGAAAAATAATATGAACTTCAGAAATGAGGGAATTGTGTTTCTTGTCATAATAAAGCAGGTTGTTCACAAGCATATTACAGTGTCAAGAGATATTAGAGTATTCTGCCCAAGTATTTTTCTCTATTCATAAGAGGGTTGACATGGATAATCAACAATCTTTTTAATATTATTTCTCAATGACCAAAGTCCACGCCATTACCAATATGTGGCTTGAGGACATGTATCTCTTGGGAGCACAGTCAGCTTCCTCTTTTCTCCACTGAACATGTTTGTCTTGTTTGTGATGGCTGATCGCCATCATACTTCTGTTCAGTTTGCAAGAGCTGAGCAGCACTGCTAATGACAGGACATTTTTGAGGTGATTTATTCATAGGGTCACCAGAGTTCGGAGGTGACTTGACTGTCCATAACAACACTATACTTCTGTGTCTTATATGGGAGTGAGAGGAGCCTGCATGGTTTTCAGTTTGTTGACAAAAATGGAATTGCATTACAGTATTTATCTTGCAACAAAATTATACCTGGTTGTTATTTCTAAGAGTTAGATACACTTGCTCAGTTTTTCATAATGGATATGGGAAGACATCTAGCCATCATACTTTTGCTCACAACATTGTTCCATCTGAAAGATCTTTATCACATAGTACTTCACATTTCAGAGGTAAACTTTAGATGAGTGGTCTTGTATCTTCTTCTCTTCATAACCAAAGATTGATGCTGTGTTTCCAGATATGCATATCCTTCATTGATAATCGTTTTTGCCCTAGGAAAAGTGATCTCACAACCATTTGTTTCAGATAAAATGTGAGCTGATATTTAAAGCAAAGCCAGGCTGTTCAAAAGGTTGACTGATCTGTGGTATTTCAGGAAAGATAGTGAGGCAATAAATCGTCTCCTAAAAGTGGTTGAAAGGGAGAGAACAGTTAAGCAGAACCCTTGTTGGTTTTCTGTTCTTTTTCTTTTGAATGTCTTAGTGAAGTGCTGTAAAGAGAGCCTTTGTATTTACAGTACGTGCTTTGCAATCAGCCATTCCCCTCAGTTGTGTAACTTTTTGGCAGCAAGACCCCATTGCCAAAACTACATGTGCTTCTGAAATACAGATATTCAGACTAGAAAATACCCTGCATTTAACCCAAAGACTGTACAGTCCATTGCATCAGTAAGAAAACTTTTTTAGCATAGCTGGGAAGGATCCCCATGAGTCACTGAGTCTACCCACTGTCAAGGAGGCATTGTGGGGAACCCCACCCTCAGGCTTTATAGCCACATCCCTTAACCACTGAATTACCACTGAACAGATCACAGTGTTGAATAAAGGAAGGGACAGTGGCCAGCAGTCTTACTTCTGAGGAGGCGCTGTGTGTCTTTGTTTCCTTTGCTGAGAAGGCAGAGTATAAATTTTCTTACTGGGAAAAACCAGCTATAAGCTACATCATCTTAACTAATCTCCAGTTGCTTTAACCAAGTGTTGCATGAGTACTGATTTTTTGTGGTATGGTAGTAACTGTAGATTAAATAATTCCTTAGCATCTGAAAGTACTCCTGCTCTGAACTGATCTTTGTGTAGACTAATACATGAATAAATACAATTAAAATGTCTGCTTTGCTGGCTGATTTGCCATTTTAGCTTTATACATGTTTACTCCGAAGTGAGACCTGATTAATTCAATCCAATAAATTTCTGTGTGAAGGGTTGCAATCTTAGTACAGTATGTTCCTAAAGCTTATTTTGCTGATATGCATAGTTGTACTGGTCAGCTCTTAAAGAATTGTTTGGGAGGGTTTTTCCCCCCAGTCATAGTTATCCATAAACCAGTTTGTTTGCTAGCTTCTGCTTGCTAGATGTGCATCTGCTCATATTCTGTTTTATTGATTTTTGTCTTATGATATTTTGTCCTTGTATGGGTTTTTTCCCTCCTTATCTCAGCACAAATCCTCTGCCTTTTTGAAACTGATAAATTCTTCATGGATGCCACAGAGGTGCTGGTGCATTTGTTGTGAGGCATGCTGGTGAGAGAGGGGGCTGTGTAAAAGACCCTAATATGTTCTCTTGAAAATGTTGCTATAATATGAAATGCATTAGCATTTCTTACTGACAGGTACTGCTTGCATATTTTGCTAAATGCAGGTTAGTGAAGGATCATCTCTTAGAAAGCATCCGTGGATGTTTACACTTCTGTTTAAGTAGACCATGTGGAGAAATCTTAATTTTATAAAACTGAGGCTGCAACTGTTTTTAGACTCAGTGAATGTTGAGCTCAGTGTAGCTACTATCTGACTAGACATATAGGATTGTACTGAGTATGCATTTGTTATATTCAGCCATATGAGATTTCCAGAGACCTTCTTTTATTTTTTTTTCTGGTGTAAAATATAAGCTCAAGTCGTCAATATTTTAAAAATCCTACTTACAGTAGGAGAAATAAATGCTTTTAGCTACATTACAAGAGAAAATAGCTTATACTGTTGATTGCTCCCACATACCATCTTTCAAATGAATTATGAGTAGTTCTCTATTGATCTGGCTCATTCTAGGTCACCGAGCTATATATCCAAAGTGTTTATACAATCTATTGGAATCGATAAACAATTTAAACTGATGTAACTGCAGAATGTTTGCTAGTCCTGAAGAAAATTGGAAGTATGACAAAGAATGTAGCTGTAGAGGTTTATTTTGTTTTGTCAGAGTAAAGGCAGTAAAATAATATAACCATTCCAGGAGCATTACAAGGAACTACTGACACCTTAATCCCATATGTAAGGTGCTGATGGTTTTACACGGGCTTTATTTCAGTCTTTATGCTGTAGAAGTTCTTTTTATTTATAGTTTTAAGAAATTACTTTTTGAAAATGAGCTTCAGAGAATATCTCCTGTAGGAGTAAGCACATCATAAAATGGTTTCAATTTAGATTATGGGTGTTACATTTCAGGTTGAGCTTTGTTGTCTGGTGACTTTGGGTGGTGTAAATATTAACATAATGGCTTAAAGTGTGGATTAGCTTTTATAGTGATGTTTAAAATTCAACAATTAAAAAGGAGCTGATACAGTTTTTAAGTATTAATAAAATGTTTGAATTCAGAAAATTAAGTTGAAAGCCATTATAGCTAGTGAGCATTTCTTATGCCACAGCGCACACTAGTGGATTATTCTGACATTTCATTAAAGCTGTAAATATATAATAAAGCTTTATTTAAGTAAAGTGGGCCCAAGTCTAACATGGAGGCTAGTACTGTGAAATGGAAGACTGTAAGGAGTTTTGTTTGTGCCAAATGGAAAAGTATCATATGTTTCAAAATGTAAGTACACTTACTGAAACGTTCTATTGAAATGAATAGTACTTCTTGCTAGTAAACATATTTAGCTGATAGCTGTATATACTTTTTCTCCTTCACCAAGTAATCATTATGACTTACGTGCATTCTTTTGGAAATTCAAAAATATGGATCTTCCATAGTGCCTATCTGCATATTATATTTTTCAAATGGGATGTGGGTCAAGTTTTCAGTTTTGCCACATAGCAGATTTGTAGAGCTGTAACAATCTGACAAGTACCAGCTGTAACAAAAGTGCAGTATAGAGCAAAGAACTGGGAACTAGTCTTACAACTGCAGCAGAAGTGTTCAAATATTATGTAGTACTTTTCACCCATATCAAATTGACCAAATTGGTATTCTTTGAAAAGAAATTATTTTCATGGCCTGTAGTTGGTGGCACAGATACTCAAATAGCACACTTAGGGAGGGAGAGCATTGTATTTGGTGCAAAATAGTCATACAAAATATACACAATATATTAGTGGAATTGTGTGTGTGTTTTATATTTTTTTTAATGACTTCATACCTTATTATATAAATAGTTTAGAAATTTCATTTTATATGTAATATAGAAAGTTTTGAAGATCTCCAAGACAGTAGCAGCAACAAAAACACATATGTTTGAATTGGTATTGGTGATTACCCATCTTAAATATCTGGAGTGGTTCCTCCAGAGCTCTGCTGGGCCCACTAATAATTAGCACCTGATCATTGGCATCTGCTGGTCTCCCTTGAGCCTGCCATACGATATCTTTTCCTTCCAGCTACAAATTAAGTAGTCCACCAGGTTTCTGTGTACTCTTTTTGATTTTGCACACAGTGTTTATGTGATTTTGCACACAGTACAGTATACTATAATCCATATTTCAAAAAAAAATGCAAATAAGCCTTGTAAGCAATATAGCCAGAAAATACTCTGTGTGTGCGTGATAGATGGCTGTAATTGTTAAAATTCCTAGAATTTTAAATAACAAGATACATTTCTGTGTACCTGGAACCAGGTTTTGGGCTGAATGGGTACTGGGAGGAGAAAAAAAGAGCAGACCAATATGAGAAGAAAATCAGGTCAAGAGATAGGGACTAATAGACTTAGGCAAAGATGGATAAATTTGCTAGTATACATATAAAAAAGAAGAATGAGGTCTTCTCAGTACTGAACAATGTCAATAGCTTACAGTATCACACCAAGTGAATTGACCCATTAAATGCTTGTTATCCTAGGTTTCATTCTCATTGGACTACACCAGTAAATGGAGAAGAGATCCATAAACGAGTGAAAAATATTTTAAGGACACACAATGCAAGGCAAAGGCTAATGTTTGTAAGTTAATATTAATTTACATTTCTTTTAACCCAAAACAGGAGTGGCAAGTTGTTCCAGCTTTGGGTGCTAGATTGCTTCTTGGGGCACGTCACAGGGGCTGAAGATGTTGGAATGGATTCTCTCCCAAAGACCGTCCCTGAAGGCTCACTCCTGGTACCACCAAACCAGAGGTGGTTTGTCCATGCACAGAGTGGCATGGAATGGATTACTCCATGCTTCCCTGTGTATGGAAGGGGAATCTAGTGCTAACAAGGGAGCCCTCCCTGTTCAATTAATGATCAGGCAGGAGAATAGAATTTCCATTGCCAGTGGCAGGGAAACGCAACCTTTCTCTAACAATGACCCCTTGATGAGGCCTGGCAGAGAAGAAGGTCTAGGAAAGAAGTTGCTTTAATGGATGGAGAATCCCTGCATACCAAATCTGGTTGGTAGATCAGGTGTTCCTTGTCCGTGGGTTTTTGTTGTTGCTGCTGCTGTTGTCTGGGGGGAGAGGGGTAGAATGCTGTGCAGACTTAAAATATTGATGGGGGAATGGGATAGGGTATCCACTCTCATTTTATGCTGACTTTTGGAGAAAGATGTAGTGAGAGAATCTCTTGTAATTTCTGATTTTTCCCAGTGGGTGGCATTGAGTGAGGGATGGTTGTCCCCTCTACCAAGTTTTCTTCAATATGAGGTTGGTGCCATGCCTGACATAAAGTGAGGGGAGCTCAGCATCCAAAGGCATGAAGTATATTTATATCATATATAGTACTGCAGCTATTTTTGACAGCTGCCATTGTGAAATCCTGATGTCATAATCCTCATGACCTTCACTATTTTCACCACAGACTAGAACTTTATGAATCATCCAGTAAATTATCTGAAAGTTGATTCATGGCAGCTGGACTTCTTTCTTATGAGGTTGAAACATTTTGCTACTCATCCAAGTAGCTTCTTCAGCCTTGATATTTTTGGAAATAGTGTGAAAGATCTTTTTCCCCCAAAAACACACAAAAAATACCACTGCCACTCCCAGCTTCCTTCAACTGGCCTGTCAGGGTTTTTTTTTGTGTGTAGAGGGATGTGACCTGCCACCATCGGATCAGACACCTATTGTGCTGCAACTCAGTGTTGTCTCCACACATCTGGGACATCTTGGCCTCTTCTTCAGCTTGCACTTCACTATGTGAAAGGTTTTGATTTAATCCTTTTTGTTGGAATGCGAACTCTTAAAATGTTTTGGGTTTAGGTTTTCTTCCTAAAACAAAAACCTTTTAAAAATATATTTTCTCCCCTATCTTTAGCCACTTGTTTGAAATGTGACCAGGCAGCCATTGTGGGTGTCTATGTGATAACTGCTACCAGAAAATAAAGGAATGTCTAATATATGAAAAGTGATACTGTCTTTACTAATGCAATGGGTTTGCATGACAGACAATGAAAACAAGATAAAAAGTGATTATACAGGCTTTTATCTAACCTAAATCCCATCTCAATCTATATGGAAACATCAAATCCTAATTCTTTCTCTCTACCCATCTCACTCTATTATTCTCTGTGTGTGTGTGTGTGTGTGTGTGTGTGAGTGAGTGAGAGAGAGAGAGAGAGAGAGAGAGAGATGTGCTGTCAAGTTGGAATTGTGTAGCAGTTCTTCTAGGGCTGTCAGGATAAGTGAGGCATTTAAGGAGTGGTTTTACCAGTTGTATCCCCTATAAACTTCCATGACCAGGCTGGGATTCAAACCTGGGATACCTGAGTCCTGGTACTCTATCCAATATACTATACTGAATAATTCACAATCTCTTGTTGTTTAGTCGTTAAGTCGTGTCCAACTCTTCGTGACCCCATGGACCAAAGCATGCCAGGCCCTCCTGTCTTCCACTGCCTTCTGGAGTTTGGTCAAATTCATAATCCAGTGCATGTTAGCAATTTGGGTCTCGAGTCCCTCTGCCCCATTGAAATCCAGCTCGTACTTCTGGGAGTTCTCGGTCCACATACTGCTGAAGCCTACCTTGTAGAATTTTGAGCATAACCTTGCTAGCATGTGAAATGAGTGCAATTGTAGGGTAGTTGGAGCACTCTTTGGCACTGCCCTTCTTTGGGATTGGGATGTAGACTGATCTCTACACTTATGTAAAAGCCCACCTTTATCTAACTTCTCATCATAAACACTTACCCACATTTATATACACTGTATACATCATCTACAAAAATGTACAAGTAGGGACTGAAATTATCAGATATCTTTTTCCCATTCAGATATGATTTATAATGAAAATTTTGTCTCTATTTCTTAGGATGAGAGTTATTTATCAAAAGAAGAATTTTCTAAGACAATAGACTCCAGTAAGACAGGATATTCCAGTAAGAAAAGAGACATTTCATCTATGGATGCATCAAACAGCAGTGAGCTTCAGAACAGGTAATGCTCCCATCCATATTATACTTCTTTTGTCCCAGTCCATGCTTCCTCTTCCCCCCCCCATCTTACTTCAGTTACACATTCCGTGGATATTATTGCCATTGCAGAAAGTGATGCAAGTGAATTGACCTTACAGAAAACTCTCTACACTAATACAGTGCAGAAGACATTGTGCTGGAGATGTAGTACATCTGCACTGCAATCCAGCACAAAGTTGATTTCAGCAGACTTGAACAAACACAATTCTTAATCCATCCCCTTACATTAAATTATCCACAGGCAGACCACTGCAGATTGTTCCTTGGATATAACCATGGGTAATGTGCAAAGCCCCAAGTAGCATAGGAGGAGGTCATATTTTGGGTCATCATCACAATAGAATCACCTGATATTTGCATTATTGTCTCATAAGAACCATGCAAAGATTGGTGTGGAAAAGAGTCATTACTTATGTCAGGCTCAGAGCTTTTGCTATTGACTCAGTGATACTGGGAGAAGGGACAAGGCTGTAGTTTTCATGTCATCAGTGCATCATAGGAAGAAGGGCCCTGTGTTGACTCATGGGTTCTGTCCCTCTCCCCTGATCTATCTAGTTTCAGTTCATAAATGTATCACTCTGTGTTTGTGCATCTCAACCAAACTATCCCAATTCATTCTCCACAGATCTTTGTGTCTGGAGAGTTAAAGATGATAAATTGATTAGCGTATGTGGGTACCAATTTTCCTAAAAGGTGCCATGCTGTTATTTCCAAAGCTGGTTCAAGCAAGGCAGTGTGCATAACATACTATGCTAATATAGGACACAAAGATCCCTTTGGATGTACAAGGCATCAGTCAAGAAGTTACAGTCACTATTTCCATGACATCATTGAAAATGATGGACTTTAAAATCTAATATTCAAGTACAGTTAGACATTGACAGGTTCATCACATTTGGTAGAGTAGTCAAGAAGGTGGGAGTTAAAAGAGAGTCAAAGGCATTCTGACAGCTTGGAGTTTCCTGTCATTTTCATAAATAGCATACTAAGACAGAATTCAGAGGGGAAAATAGATTTGCTGACCAAATGTTCACACCAATTTAAATTATTGAAAACCATTGGGACTGCACAGAAGATCTATGGTATTGAAATATTTAGTATGTGTGCAACTTTGAAAGGAACTTGTGGGACTCTAAAGGTGATGGAACAAAAGTATGTGACAGATGTATGACAGGTGTTTGGGAAAGTGGAGTTGAGTGCAGTTATCCTGCTCTTAATATGATTTGTGCATGTAATCCCCAGATCACCTCAGTTCAGCTTGTCAGGATAACTTCCAGTTAAGACAGCAGACTGATGTTTTTCTAACATGGATGGAGTTTTGTCCATTCCACTGTTAAATTTCTTATGAGGGAGGGTGGACTAATAGCCCGGCACCAGAAGTGAATACTCTCGACACAGTCAGTACATTGACAGAAAATGCTGCCAGTCTTTATGAACTTAATTCCAACATGTTGTGTTGACTGTGCTTCTGGCAACAGAGCTGGATTTCTTAGAACAAGACACTGACTGAAATCCTGTTTGTGTACGTTTTGCAGCGTAAGGCTGATCATCCAGGGTAAAGTTTTGGAAATTAGCATTCTTGCCCCAAGGCGCTGCCATAGTTTTCAGTAATTAAATACTTCTGCATCCCATCCTGTAGCCCCACAGGTTGTTGATAAAAAAGGGATTACTCAGGATCCATGGAGACCTTAGGAAGGGAGAGAAGAATTTTTAATTTTCAAGTGATGTCATCCGCCTTTCTTTATGGAATTTACATAACCAGGATTTCAGCCACTGATCATTAAACCTACTATAGTGCTCCTGTTCAGGCTTTGCTGACTTTGTTTGAACTTATGAAGAAGTAGTTACAGAGTCATGTGTGTCTTGCAATAAAACTAAAGTTAATATTTCATTAAGGTCTTTTAATGATAAGATTGTTCCATGGCTTTAGCAGAGATGAAGATTTTGTTCTCACCTGCATTAGTATCTGCAGCATGGCCTTTAGTGAAACTGATTCTACTGGTAAACCCAGTTGTTTCTCTTCAAAAGGCTGAGTCTGATCCCAGTGTACTGTGATAATAATCATAGAATCATGAAGTTGGAAGGGGCGTACAAAGCCATCGAGTCCAACCCCCTGCTCAGTGCAGGAATACAAATCAAAGGATATCTGCCAGGTGGTTCTCTTGAATTTCTCTTGAATGCCTCCAGTGTTGGAGCAGTCATCACCTCTCAAGATAATTGGTTCCATTGCTGTATGGTTCTAACAGTTAGAACATTTTTCCTGATATGCGATTGAAATCTGGCTTCCTGTAACTTAAGCCCATTGTGGTGTGTTCTGCACTCAGGGATGATTGAGAATTAATTGGTGAAAGCCATATAAGAGATACTGGCTCTGAACAATGATATTGTACTTTTAGGAAGGCAGGCTATAAAAAAGCACTAGACTTCTGGAGTAAAGTTGTTTCTTGAGCCATATGTTTTCTCAATTCTCCTATCTAAGTGTAGAAGATTCCAAGGATCAATTCTTTGCACATGCCTCTCTTTCACACACAAATCCCTATCTACTTCATGATAGAAGGCAGTGCCACTGGGGTAAGTAGTTGGCATTTAAAAACATGTGGCTAGAGTCCAGTAGTATGCCAGTTTAGATTAGATCCATGTGCTTGCTCTGTGCAATAGTATTGGATTTCACAAGGAAGTTATGGATTCCACACATAAAGTCTGTGGAAGAGATTCAAGTATGTTTAACTATGCATCTCAGGCACTCATGATATTAGCACATTTACTTGAGCAGAAGTTGTAACCAAGTGAATTCAAATAGGCACATGCAGGGAAAGAAATAAGATCATACTACTATTTTTCTACATTTATGAAATCATAAAAGGATGCGTTTCTAAGATGAGATCACCATGGCTGAATAGAATACTCAATCTGCAGACCATTTGTAAACAGCTTTTTAAAAATATGCAAACAAAAGTTGCTTGTCTCTCACTCTTCTTTGAGTTTAGAAAAATAACTTTTTGTTTGTTTGTTTGCTGGAATTGCTAGTTCATCGCTACAGCAGAACATCATGGTTCATCTGGATGATGATGATTATTGGAACAGTCAAGCTGCTCAGTATAAAAATAAACCACACAGAGCAATTTTTGAAGAGAGTTTGGAGAAAATCTATCGAAACATGTACAAGAAAGCTTCTGGCTCAGCTTCAAAAAATAAATAAAGTTGTCATGTAGGTGAAAATGAACAATATACGAAATCAGTATTTTTAATGAAAATGTTGTTTGTCTAACTAATATTTGTACTTTCTTTTTTTTACTTGACATATTTTTGAAATTCTGAGGCTGGGACTCCCAACAGGGAAATAAATAAAATCTGGAGGATTTCAACTAGTGTGTGTTATTTGCTCATGGGATTTATAAATGTGTCAGTGTGTTTGGTTTTCCATTTCTCAAAGTCATCTTTAAATCAGAGTGAATAAGCATATTCCTCCATTACGCAGATGTTCATGGTTTTGCAAATACATCATATTTCTCTTATACTAATATAGGCACACATGGGAACAGTTCCTTTCCTGTGCTTATAGTAACGTGTTTCTGATACTATGCTGCTGAATAGCATTAATTGGTAATGATGTGTCAGTAAATACAATTGTTGAAAACCTGTAGTTCATCCATAAGCTAGGTAGAAAGGAAAGGATCGTGTTTTACGTAGATTGAATGTGTGAGTTCATCTTTCAGGAATAGCAACATCAACTTTGCATTCTTTATCAAAACAGACACCAAAGAATCCTAAGAATAAGAATGCCATGTCAAGTGAGGGTCAGAGAAGATAGGTACAGATGTAAAAAGCCTAATTATATTCCCAGTTTTGTTCTTGGAAATTTGTTGTAAACAATTTGTGCACATAGTTCACAAGGTGATTTTGGCAGGCATGACGTGAATTAGGAAAGCTATGCTGCTTGAAGTCAGCTCCACCTGAGCACGGAGCGGCACCCTTGTCTCTTGGCAGTATGGGGGCAACAGGTTCTCTCTGAGGGTTCGAAGTGCACCATGTTTTCCCTCTTTTCCTGCACTACTATTCATGTTGAGGCTTCTATTTATAATATGTATTTTGACATACCTGTGGTGTTATGTGTTGAGTTAGGGGCGGAACTGCATAACGTCCGAAGTCTCTTCTAACTTTCTGATTATATGTCAGCAGTTTCTTTGCTCTTCTCTTTTTCTGTTTGTTTCCAGACTTCCTCTAGCTAATTAGGATCTGGTATTCTATATAATTGCATCAGCAATGTCAATGCATTGTTGAAGTATGAAAAGAACAAAACCAGAGCATAGAAGCCAGCTCATCCATCAAAATATAAATATTATGAATGCGCCATACCTCTGTATTATGTGGAGTCAATACTCACAGTCCCAAGGGATTGGTTGGCAGGCTTGTGTTGGCAAAGATAGCATCTCTTTGCTAAAGGACACCAAATGTTCACTAGCAATTTTGCAACATCCCCCTGAGAAGAAACCTTTTCAGCCTTCCATTGAGTATCTTGCACATTAACAAATGGAGGCAGGCTGCCCAAATTCTTCAGGGATAAAGAAATCCAGGAGCAAGCTTGTCTATCTCCTTCCTTTCAAACCAGAAGAAATAGGCACGTTCTCTTTGGAATGTTTGCCTCATGTAAGGAGAGACTCTCAAAGGTGGTTTCAAATGTTGCTCGTTGGAGGAGCTGGTAAACAGTGTGAAGTATATAAAATGCCCAGTGTTACCACCAGTCCATCTCTGTTTTCTACTGATGGGGCTGTCCTAGAAAATGTGAAGTCTTTTATCCCTATTGAGTCTGTAAGTCCATAGGTTCTACATTTGGCCAAAAGTGGTAATTTGTTTATTTAAAGGATTTAAAGGATTTTCAGTTCAGTCAAAATATTGAGATCATGTTAGATGGCCATGAACCACCAGTTCATGCCAATTTGACCTTCAGATGAACATGTGTTTGGTGGTTCCCAGCCCCACCTCCTCTGCCAGGTGCCCACCCAGAGGCAGCACCCTGGCTTCCCTGCCCCACCTCCTTTGGGTGCTGCTGGGAACTGCTGAACACCTGTTGTGTGAAAGATGAACTGGCGCAAACAGCCAAACTTGCATTTCATGCCCGTCTCTAAATGTGCAATTAAAAAATATAATAAAATACTAGTAGAAAATATAAAAGCTGGCTGTTTAATTCAGGGGGTTAGTTATTTGGCTGTGGAGCCAGAGGCTCAGAGTTCAATTCTCCTGGTAGAAGGGAGCATGAGAGATCTTTCTCATGGGTAAAAATAATTTCCTGGCTTTCCTCAATCTGTTAAATTCTGCTGTTTTCAGACAATACATCTTCCACTCCTACCACCAGAGCAGTATAAAAATTGGATAAGGCAACTGATTCACAGAAGTGGGGAGTACTGTAGGAGTTTAGTCAGAAGTAAATTGTGTTGGTGATCCAGAGGCGTAGAGTGGAGAGCATGTTGAACTGGGACTTGAGACACTTGAATTCAAATCCCTGCTCTGCCACAGAAGCTCACTGGGCAGAGAGGCCTTGGTAAATCATTCCATGAACGTCTTAACATACATACCAGTTAGAATTGCCATAAGTCTTGAGGAACTTGAAGGTACATAACAGTACATTTTGTTGAGTTTAGGTTAGCTTGCTCACATCTGTGTATAGCGTTGCTGTGTACATTGCACCACTAAGTTCTGTTCCACTGTACATAGGATGAATCCAGTGGTGTTTGCCGTAATAAGCATGTGACGATGTGCATCCCCAAACACTCAGAAATATGCATTTTATATTATTATTGGGTTTCTAATGTTGCATGCCAGTGTAAAGAAGCATACAGTAAATTTCAGTTAGCAGTTCACCTGCTCGGTGCCATTACATTGTTTTTATGCAGCACCCATGCTTGGTAGCAGAGACCAAGGTTAACAGTGTTGTTAGCTGTAGTTAACAACTTGTAATTGTTCTGAAATAAAATTCATCAGCCTTGATCCATAATATTTGACCCTCCATGAAGCGTTGTACCTTGGACAATGCTTTGAATGTCTCACTTGTTTCTCCCTATAAACAGTTAACATGTTGGCTTTTTAAGCTGCCTTCAAGTATAATGTGATCTGCTTTACATACTGGGTATTTTAAATGTGAAAAATGTAACAAAATTGACTCCATAATCCCCAAGTCTTTCTATCCGTTAACCCTGTTATTTGGCAAACAGCTTGCATATAGGACAGGCTGTGTCTCCACCTTGACTAGTGTGAGATAAGTAACGTTTTGGGCAGTGAACCAACATAGTAATAAGTGGTAATTGTCTAGTGCACCTTGCCTTCTAATACAATTTAAATCCCTTCTCTCAAATGTAAATTTCTAAGTTCCCAACTAGAGTCGGAAATAGCATTTTTCTGTACTTGCTCCTTATCTTTTGCCATCCACAGAGTGATGTATCAGTGACTGGGATGACATAATTCCATCATAGTCACACAAGAAGAGAAAACTGGAAATTGGTGGCCACATTTTTTTTCTTTCCCCAAATACTGTAAATCCTATTGTGGGATATGAGAATTCTTACCAAGTATTGTACTTTTAATTCTGAAAACAATATGAACATGTAATCAGCATATGGCAGGTTTGGGGGGAAAGAGTTGCAGCTGAAAATTTTTTGTCAGTGTTTCCATGAGCTAAGAAGTCAAAAGGCATGTAAAAGGAATCCCAAATACTTTGTGGATTTAAGTATCTTGTGATGCTACGTCCATCTGGCTTTCAGTGCTAAGCAAAAGGAACACCTTGGTTTTGCAGAGCTTTGGCAGTTAATTTTTGGAATGCAAGTTGCAAAATCCCTCAGCAAGCATTCTGGGAGTTATGAGTAACTTTTCTGAGCCCTAAGTTCTGGTATAAAAGCAGCACAGGATGGAGATAAATAGCACGTTGGCCAGAATCCTATTGGTGTTCATGTTAAGATCTGCCTAGATTTCCATTGCCAATTGCAGTTAATTGATGAAGTGCCCAGATGCATCTTATTTGCATGCCTGGTCATACACCCATTAATGTAACTAACATGCAAAACCTGATGGTCAACTGCTCACAGTAACAGTGTATTGCCCCCAATGTATTCCAATTAATTTTAGGAATATATTATTACAATTAAGATTCTACTGTAAATTGTACAGGTTAGATTTGGAAGTATATCAGCCCCTTATTTTCAAGGATAGCATGGGATTGCAAAAAGCGGAGTTGGGATTTATCAGGCACATCCCTAGATCACTTCATTTTATAATAGAACTGGCTATGTCAAACAAATCATTTTTCTCCTTTGAAAGGAATGACACCACTCTATCAGGAATGGTGTTATGTGGATTATTTCATCTGTATTGGCTGGATTTAGTTCGATATGTTATTAGGTTAATATTTTACCTATCTGAATTATGCCTGAAGTATCTAGCATTCTAGATGCTTATGTTTTAGATGTAATTTTCTTTGCTGATGTCTTCCATTATGCCTCCAAGGGCAGGAGTTGGTCATTTGAAGAACAAGAATGGTTTTGAATATGTAAAAAGCCACCCTAACTTCATGGGCTTTAATTTGCAAAAATGATTTCAGTCTCTGTGCTTATAAAACCCATAGATAATGCTTCTTTATTTGTAGTCAGTGATACAGCGTTACGAAAATTCATGTTTGTGGACAGCTTGTGTCATAAGTGTGATCTATCACTGTATTAATCTTTGACACCTTATGTCATAAGTGTGATCTATCACTGTATTAAAACACACACACACACATACCTCCTTTTAAAGAAGCCTAACTCCTAAAGAAATACTTTGCTGCAGACTTCCCGGTTTACTGGTTTTTAATCATGTAGCTGTCAAAGGCAGAAAAAAAAAACAGCCACCTTTTTGTGATGGAACCTAATGTTAAAGCTGTCAAGAGTCCAGGGAGAGAGAGCAAGTGTGGTGTTTATGGCCATAGGGCTTGCCATTCATGTTCTTCTCAACTTTGACTGATTTAGGGTTTAGCTGGTGTGACCAGATCTTGTTTCTGCACCGGCACAGAGTCAGTCAGGGCTTTTAAAATGACTTCCTGGTTTGCAGATTGACACTGTAATGACTGCCTTTGTGGGTTACTAATCTCCTTTCAAAAGTATTGCTGCTCCATCATGATGAAGAATTTTGTATTGGAATGATTGGGGCTTGGCACTTGACCCAGAGCAGTGAAGGATGCTAAAATATTTCCTGCTCAGGTTCCACAGAGTGACTGGAATGAATGGCACATGTGCAGGAGTGTTGCTCTTCTACTGATCTCATCCATTTTGGTGGGCCTCTCTGGATTGTGCCATTCCTCTTTCTAGGTCCTTGTTTAATTTAATATGCTTTTCTATCTTTT